TGCGTGTAAGTGAGGAATGACTGTTATCCTTTATGGGTATTTTAAGTTAGAAGAAAGAACGAATGTTGGGTTCAAGCTTGATTTTAACAGTGGCAAACAGTAAAGATGAGTTATGTTCATTTACATATTCACTTTTCTTCTGATCCTTCAATCAGCTGCGAGAGAATATAGCGAAAATTTATTTTGTTACAAACTGACGAGGGCAGGCAGCAACTAGGTACCTCACTTCCTTAAACGTGCTGTTTTAACTTCTATCTTGGCAAATTATCTAAAGCCGTTTAAGCAAAATTCCTGTCTATTCCCATTTGCTTTCCTGTAATCTGATCGTCTAGCTCCTCCAAAATTCTTCCGATCAATTCATCCAGGTTGAAAAAATCTACATGAGTTCAGTTGACTTTGATTCTTCCGTCACTGATTGTTCGAGTCCAAAGTAATTGATCGTGGACTCAAAAACGCGCAAGTGAAGCAAACTTTCGAATATGACTTGTAGAAATATATCCACCCATCCGCGAACTATTATTTGAAATGCAGTGATGTATGTTATTTTAGATTTATTTTTTATTTGTTTTCCAAAGGGATGACTATTTGACGTTCCGTGGCGACAGAAAACAAGATTTTGGGAAATACTGTGGTTCAACGACAGGCGGAACTTTTATGATAACTGGAAACTACACATTGATAAACTTTCATTCTGGAAATAGTTCTAACATGACAAGGAGAGGATTCGTTTTACGCTTTGAAGCTGTTGATCAACCCGGTAATGTATCTCAATTTCCAGTCTCCCACAATATAGTTCAGTTTAAAAGGAAAGCAAAGAATTCTCTTCAAATATAGCGCCCGGAAATTGATTGTTCGCGAGCGAAGATCTCAACGATTAATCTCATCTGTTAGAATAATTGCCTTGTAGTAAACATTATCTTAATCCCGTCAATGAATTGGGATTTGTGTGATGATCAACGATGATCGTTTGCATTACTTTTACACAGTATTATTTAGTACGAGTTGCTTTTTTTTCGGTGTAAACGATGATTGGTACAGTTTCCGCTAAAGACTGAACAATCGTAAACTTGACTTGTTTTACTTTTGTTAGTTCAACCAAGTATCTGCCCGATTGGTTGGTATCATCAACATGGTTCATCCTGCTATAAATTCAGTTTTGAGTCTCTGAATTGGGATAATGCTAGCAGACACTGTCAAAGTCTCGGAGGATATTTGGTGAAGATCGATGATGACAAAGAGCAGTCTTATATTACGGATAAAATAAAAGAAATGCGACTCGCACAGGTTCGTGATGTAAAGAGGAATGACGAAAACGTGTCCATACCAGTCGCTAGGTACAATAATCTCATAAATCATTAAAAGCAACATGCGACAGTCTGCGACCTTTTCCCACATCTAGGTAGTGTGGAAAGCTGCAAAAAAATCTGGAAATAATATCTTTCAAATCGGTATCGACAAACGCTTTTTACTATATAGATACCGATGAAATACCAGGATTTTTCCTTTTACTAAAAAATCGTATCTTCATCGCCCGCAGTGAAGATACTATTTTTATCTTTCACGAGTGAGGATATTGGTGTCGACATGATTACTAACATGATTAGCCAATTACAAGGGAGCTTCCCGCCCAGGCGCGCGGCCGGTTCTTTTGAAATTCCATTCACAAAATGGCTTCGAGGTGCGAAGAGGGTACTGTAACCTGTGACTTTGTCGATGAGCTGCCAAATTTTCACATCGATCCTTTTTCCGAGCTTGAAGAACATTCAGGAAGATTTGCCGAAGTCTCGGAAAGTGATGTTGAAAAATTCATAGAAGGGGAAGAAAATGCAAACACTAAAAGTAAGACATTCTACGACTTAAAATTATGTCTCCTTTATAACTCTATATCCGAGTTTCATAACATTTTGTAAGAGGCATTTTGCAGTAGGTGGTGGTACTCAACCAAAATATGAGTTCAGCAGTGCTAATTTATTGTTTTTATCATCTAAAGTTAATATAAACATAATTCTAAGACCGAAAGAGGTGAAGCTCTACACTTCTTTAAAGTGATCATTATTGATGTATTCAGCTAATTTTTCAGTGACAATCTCTCACTTTAGGCTGTTTGGATTGGACTACACGATCCTGATAAGGATAATAACTTTAAATGGGTGTATGATGATACTCCTCCTCGTTACTCCAACTGGAATAGGGACGAGCCTAATAATAAAGCGGTATGAGGCGAACATTCTTTCATTTTTGTCATATAGTTGTTTAGTTTGGGGCAAGACTTGCTATCATATCTTTAGACCCCTTCATATTTTTATGTGCGTACATACTTGTCTTTGATTTTCATCATGTCCAACTTCAAGCCTTTGGTTCATGAACAAGTTCAAATTTGGAAAATGTTCCATCATCTTTGACACACTTTTAGATAAAATCCCATGGAAGCACAATGTTTTTAAAAGAGATCTGCCTGTTACCAAATTATGGCGAATTTATGTTCGATATAATGGGCTGAAATTGCTGAACGAGAATTAAAAAATAATTAACTATTGTATTTTACTAATTTCTATCAAGAGAAAAGTGCCATTACTTTCTCTTGTTTCTACTATTTTTTCATTTATTGGTACAAATCACTACCTCATATTGTTATTCATTCAATCATTTGTTTATCTATTTGATAATATGTTTGTTATACTTAGTTTATCATTTCATAATTTGTAATGTGTTTGAGTTATCTTTAAATCGTGTGTACTGTCAGTAGAAGTCTTAATAAAGATAAACGCATAAATGATTAAGCTCAATACCCCTATGAATGATGGTCACCGAACCGGTTTAACCCTTAAGTTATTTTCGGTGAGCAGGGCTAGCTACTTTCTGTAACTTAAACTTCGATAAATAAGATAATTTATAATTGTAATTGTACAGTCCGACTGTGCACGGGCCTATGGGATTTGGTTTGAGTTGTATGGCGCACCCTTTCCAGCTGGGAAATGGAATGACGTATCGTGTAGTGAAAAGACATTCTCCATTTGCGAGAAAAACGGTAAGTGGATCACTGGCTAGTTAATTGAACGTTTTTACATAACGTCACGGCCAAATTGGTTATCACAACAACAGACGGCAACGTGAATGCCCAAATCAGTCCTGTTGGATTTAAACTCTTTTCTACGTTAGAAAGAAAAATAAAGGTCTGTTTACAACTACCAGAGTACCATTTCACGATGTCATTTACTCTATGGCAATGGTCTGATTCAAGCAATAATTCCAACTTCATCTCAAATAACGAAGATGTTATTTTTGGTCTATTCACGATAAACAATATATTAAAAATGTAAAATACATTAAACTTTCCTTTCAGAATTGCTCATCAGTGAATTATTATCGATTTTATCTACAAAAGATAAAGTTCAAATATAAAATCAATAAGCTTGATTAAGTTTTTTTCTAAATATCTACTTACTATGATTACGTGTTTTAAATGCTTCTTGGATTATTTAGATTTGACTTTTTTCAACAGCAACAGTCGCAGCACCGGATATCATGGCCAAAACACCTACCCTTGCAATCAAAACGCAGAAAAACGAGGCCATGAGTTCTGAAGCCCTTATTTACAGCTTGGTTGGTGCTACCTTTTTAGTGATACTCGTGCTGTGCTGCATTATGGGACTTCGGTGCTACAAAAGCAAAAGACACGCTAGGTTAAAAAGGTAATGTTCACAAGCCCAATATAGTTATTATGGTAAACAAGCACAATTCAATCACGGCTTATGTAAATTTCTGTAAGCTTCCTCTGCATGGTGTATATGCATGTCAAAAACAACAACAGAACGATCGTTTGGTCGGGTGATCTTAACGTAAGTATCTTCAAACAGATGACGCTTGCTTCCGATCCACAAGCTGAGTTCTTTAGCTTTAGGTTTCTCAATCTGTTAGTTCTGAAAGTGTCACTTACCCAAAAACTTTTCTATCAACAAAGTAAATCTTATTGTCCCACGAATAAAAAAAATCGAAAAAATTAATTTAGCAACTATTTTGGTTATTTTATTATTATTATTTTTATTATTATTATCATTATTATTGTTATTATTATTATTTTTGAGCTTCCAAAGATCCCGAAATTGGCGTCTTTCAAGTTCACGACCGAGAAGTAGGGGGAATGGGGCGGGTTGGCTCATGACATCATCCCGGAAATTATTCATATCATTTAGCGAGAAAGCAGTCACACTGCAGCCTAGGAGAGAACCACAGAATTATGCTCGGAAGATGTGTTGTTGTTGCTCTGATCAGGATATCTTCTAAAGACTTTCCTTAAATATTGCTCTTCAGCGCGGTTGGTTTTGGTGCCAAATCAGAAGGGAAGAAGGTTAACTGTAATTCTTGTCTTAATGATGAAAAAGCTATCAGTTATTAAGTCATTTAACATTCTCTCACTGAATCCAAATTTGTGTTGTCAACAGACATGTTCAGCGTCCTTTCCGCGAGATTATTCCTCTTGACAAGTGGGAAATTCTTCCCAAGCAGGTGCATTATGAGGAGGAACTGGGCCGAGGTGCATTTGGTGTGGTTTACAAAGCAACTCTTACGAGAAGAGCTGGAATAGAAGTGTTTGAAACAAGAGAAAGACTAAAGCCAGAAAAACAATGTCAAGTTGTCGCGGTAAAAGTATTGCAGGGTGAGTAGAAATAGCGCTTAAACACCATCAAAATGAAATTTTTAATCGCTAAGAAAAGGATCTGCCGTTGCATGGAATCATAAGTCGACTGGTAACATCTTATAAGCTTTCCTTTTAACATATCAAGCCAGAAGGGGCTAGTTCACGACTTGCACATGCGCTGTAATAATCGAGATGGCTGTTACTCTCGTCGGGTTTCAAGCATCCTATTCAATCCAGGGGCTGTTGCGAACGCCAAAAGGTCTAAGACTGGACTCACAAACGCTGAAAGCATCAATAACATCTATCCACAGGTGATCCAACCGATGAGCAAAGAGAAGCTTTCCTTCATGAAATATTACAAATGAAGCTGTTGGGTTCACATCAGAATATCGTGTCTTTGGTCGGATGCTGCACACTGCAGGACACCAATTTTCTGGTGATAGAGTATGTTCCGTATGGTGATCTCTTACAATGGTTACGGCAAAAGAGGCGATCGGTAAGAGGAGAGAGATTTTCCTGAGCAAGGCTAACTTTTGGAATTTCGATGTCTGTGAGAAAGGAAGAGGCTTAATCATTAGCCTTGTATTACGTTACGCTAGATTCTGGATTAAACAAATAACTAGTTTATCTTCTACCCTTATTCTGTATATACATATCTGTGGTAAATATTTTGCCTATTACGCTTCAGGTAAATAAAAATCAAGCCCTCAGAGGAAAGGAGGCGGAAAAGTTTTATGAAGATAGAGACACTCCGATTGATGAGTTGAAAAGATGCAAACCTAGTCGAGTAAGTATTTTTGTGCTATTTCGGTAGTGATGGGGGAAGGCTTTGCCAAGCAAGTCGCGATTGACCGTATTTATATTAGTATTCATTATTCCGTCCATTGAACTGAAACTCGAAAGTAAGGTGTAATGTTTCCTAAAAATATTATTCCTCTAAGAAATAAAATGCAGTCAAGCTAAACGGAATCAGAGACCCCTCCCCTCACCCCCGAAAAAATCAAGGAGAAAAATGAGGTACTATTTTGCTTGAGAGGGAAGCTAGGCTCCTTGAGGCCCTTCAGGAAAACTACTCCACCTCCACAAGCGCGGTTGTAAAAAGAAGATTAAGGCAGATAACTCGGCGACTTGACGCAATTTCTGTCGCTTTGCATGGACTATGCGGGACGGAAAAATGCTTTGTGAACAGCGAATGCCTTTTTCGGATTTTATTTGTCAAAATAAAGTTCGACGGATATCAAGCATTCATAATTATCTCCCTTCCATGCAAGCCATCCCACCATGAATCTTGATCTAAAAGTGAACATTAATCTATTACTTTAATTCCTTCCTTTATCACCCAGAAAAGTTGTGACAGTGCTGTTAATCAGGAAAATATAGAATTGATGTCAATGCCATCCAGTCCAGGTTACTATAACCACGCTGCTGTCATTTCGCTGTCTACGGTGAATCTTCATGAGAGTAACCTTGATGGCGTAAATGATAATGATGACGTCGGTGTTGATGGTTTCTCTGCTCAACAGCTGTTTTCATTTGCTTGGCAAGTAGCAAGAGGAATGGTAAGTAAATGAATTAAATCAGAAGTGACTGTGGGCTTACCTTCGAAAAAACCTTACGCAGAAACCATACCTGAAGATCATTCTCGACATTATTTTATGTCGTCTTCAGTTACACCTCTTTAAGCTTTTTTTTTTTCATTATTTTTTCCCAGAATCACCTTGCCGAAAATGATTTCGTTCATCGTGACCTTGCAGCTCGGAACATCCTTGTTGGTCAAGACGGACGAGTGAAGGTGTCAGACTTTGGTTTGATGCGCCAAGTGTACGAAGACGTGTACAGCATAAAAAAAGCTAAAAAGCTGCCAGTTAAATGGATGGCACCAGAGAGCATCTTCGAGGGTGTTTTCACTATCAAGAGTGACGTGTAAGTAGACTGGAGCTGCTACTGAGTGTAGTATTTCTGTTTCAGCAAATTTTCTCTTTTGTTTGTTTACAACTTTTTTTTTTCAGTCTTGCTCAGAGATGCCGCAAATCTCAATTTAATAGTTAATGTTTAAAATTTCTCGCAGTTGGTCTTATGGAATTTTTCTCTGGGAAATGGCTACCATGGGTAGGTTAAAAAGCTTTTCTTGATAGATATTTATTGTTTTTATCATTAACGTTTTTCATATTGTTAGAGTTATTTGTTCGTCGTTGCATTCATACCTCTTCTTCTGTTGTAATTAAGGTGGTGTTCCATACCCTACGTTTACCAATACAGAGCTCTGTAAACTTCTAAAGAATGGATATCGCATGGAAAAACCTGATATGTGCTGCCATGAAGTGTGAGTAGAATTTTGTTTTGAAATAATTGTCAACCTACCGTTTTATTCTAATTGCCAACAAATTTTGTTTTTTTATTGACTGGATTTCACCACAAACTCTAATAAAAATGTACTATCCCTCTTCATACTTGAAAGATATGAAATGATGACGTCATGCTGGGAGAACGATCCTACAACTCGCCCCAGTTTCTCGGAGTTGATTGACCGACTGGAGGCTATTATGACGAGGGATGTAACATACTGCGATATGTCAAACTGCGATGAATCGAGTCCATACTATAACATACAGGACATGGTTGACGAAGAAAGCGGATGAGATGTATAAACAAGGGTTGTCGCCCAGTCATCACCGCCTGGTAGACAACACTACCTCCGAGTTTCTTATGTTATGGATAATAGCTGTAAAGATAAGTTTCTCGAAATTTCTAGAATGCCTAGTCATGCTGACATGCTTACCTTGGATGTAATACTAACGCAGTTGTTGTATTGTAAGCTTCCGAAATGTTCTAGAATACTTTGTAAATGTAAATAAGGATTCAGCTGTGTGGTGGTAGTTAGTTGCTGTTGTCAGGAGTGACCTACTTGGGAAGCTATACTGAAGGAGAGCTACTGCGGAAGATTGTTCATTTCGGAGTTTTGGAGACGTACGGCTGTGAGATTGTGTCAGTGGTAAGCTAAGATATAGACTGTAGTGAGCTCAAGTAAGTATATTGAGGATAATTTCTGTACTTCCTTCAGGAGTCGCTCCATATTAAGAATGTTCCTCATTGTTTGATAAAGTAGTTGAGTTTGTAGTTTGTTTCTGTTGGTTTGATTATACCGTAACACTTATCATTGTTAAAACATGCTTAACTTGCTTAAAACATATAATTCTATAAACGGTTTTATCTATATTGATGTTTAAGACATTCAAAGCTGCAAGGCAAAGCTAAGGGATAGGGAAAGTCTCAATTTATTAGTTGTTACATTCCAAAGTTGAACTTTTGGTATTATGTAATGTTTAAAAAACGAGCAGGAGTGTTTTATCGGGTTTAAAACCACGAGGCGTAGCCGAGTGGTTTTTGACCCGATAAAACACGTGCTGGAGTTTTTTGAACGGCTTCAAAAACATTCTTGGAAAAGCGTGTGTCAAGAGAGTTCATAACAATTATGCTTTTGTGAACGTTAGAAATTAGCATATGAGAAAAAACATTCATGTATTGTCTAATATGCCTTTACCAGATTACTGTACTAATGGAATAGAGAATTTTTCCAGATGTGTATTTCACAACTGTACTATTAATTTGGTGCAAAAGTAAATTTACTGTGTGAAATTTGTTGAAAGAACATTAAATATGTTCCCACCATTTGTTGTGTCAGTTTCTGTGTTGATAATTAATTAATATTCATAAGTCACGTGCAGTGTCTTTATATCTGATAAAACACCGCATACTAATAAGGATGAGGTTTATCGATATAAAGTCACTGCACGTGATGAATTATCTACCATTTGATAGGTTAATGGGCTTATGAATTATTAATGAGTTTTTGAAGTTTGAATAATGGAGACATGAAGTACCACGAGCGTTTCATTTAGTTTGAGAGTTAGAAACCAGTAGTGCTAGCATTTTATGAAGTGTTGCTGTTTTTACCTTTGAAATAAATTATAAAAAGAAAAAAAGGAAATAAAAAATTATAAGCTCGGAAAGATATCATCAATTGAAAAGTAGTTGTAGGTATTAAGTTGGTGTTGATTACATCAAAGGATAGTGGAAAAGCTGATACTCGCAATTCAGGGCATTTAAATTAATTTTTCATATTATTCGGTAATACAAGACTGGGATTAAGAAGCATTTGACACTTAGTTTGGCCCATCGAACTCGGTTGCTCATCTGGACAGTTCAAAAAAACATTTTGATGAATGGAATCAAAACACTATAATGCTCACCAAATCCCCGGCCAATTGTTATAGCTATTGGAGCTAAGAACGATATTTTGGTATTTCACTCATCGTGCAAGACAAGACAGAAAATTATTTTCTTTCTTGTTATATTTAAGTATTGTTTACCGTATTTATCGACCATGATAAACTAGCAGCTCTCCGCAATAAGAAATGCAGTTGCGTCAGTTTGCTGCACAAGAATGCAAGATACTTTTTTTCTCGGCTTCGTAAAAAATATGTCTGAGGAACTGAAAGTACAATATATGATGACTAGGGGCATGTTAAAATAGAAAATTGAATGAACTCGGTGAGATAAAAATCTCTCTGATCAATATTGGGGATGTGACTTCAGAAGTAAGCGGAAAATACGATGCCATCGAGATTCAAAATAAAAGTAAAGAAACTTGAACTAATTTAAGTTTCAGTAAAGGTGTATTTTATCATTTTGACTGCTAACTGTCGTTACCTTCAAAAATCTATCCATTAAAAAAAGGAAAAAAATCTTGAAATTGATCCGAAGCGTTTACTTTTCGCCTGCCTGAACTGATCAGCAAATGATTCGCTTTGTACATTCATAAGGAAAGTAACATGTGAATAAAAAATGTGACGTGAATTTACCCTGACAATTATCGTCCTTTCAAATCTCCCTTGTCATAAACTGGTTCCCCAGTTATAGGAAAAATTTTTCGTTCAAGACTTCACGACCGAGAGAAATCTGATCAAGACGCGAGATTGCGAAACCTGTGAATTTGATTACAGTTTCGGAGATAATTTTGACCACCGATAGTAAGTTCAATTCATACAACTACTCATCAATATTTTATTTATCGATGTGAAGAAAATATTCCGTATAAGAAATATATTAGCAACTCATCCTCAAAAAGTCGGTATTAAAATGTATTTTTGATATCGGAAAGACCCATGTTCTCTACCTTAAATATTCATTGCGAATAAACGAAACGCTGATCAAATGAACATTTCGTTTAAGCCAAAAGTCCATGTATAGCTCTACCAGTGTTTTATCAGAATTGCTACAACCTTAGTGGCTACGCTACGCAGTATTAATCCCGTGATATTCATTGATATGTGGCGAGCTGAGTTAGCAACGTAACAGAGTGGATTTGTAAATAAAATAGATCAAAATCCAGGGCCTGTCTTGTTTTAAGATTTGAATGACCATGCAGAAAATTTATGCCAAAACGATTAAATATCTCTCGTTTTCTGTGGTGATATTTGATTTCCAGCTTCGCCCATATCAACCGTCACGCAATAGAAATCCCGAGCTCATAATCTAATTGTTAAAAAGAGTCACTCTGACTTGGAAAGAATTGAACGCATTCATCATTGTTAATACGAGTGATTAGAATCTGAAGAAACACAGATAAACGCTCAGCGATCGTCCAGGTGAAAGTAGTCCTGAAAAGCACTGACACAAGAGTCAGTGACTTGGTGATATTCCGACGACTAACCAGAAGTCCTCAACAGCGTCGAATTCCCCTCTTTAAACTGATTATTTGCATCTTCCGCCGGCAAGATCACACAACACGAATGATGTCATTAAATTATGCCTAAAACTAGATAAGATTTACGTAAATATCGTAAACGTGTACGATGAAATATTGAAGGGAAAATATATCTGACTCCAGTGACGCAAAAAACTTAAAGATAGCACTTTTGGAATGTATGCCCTCAAAACGCGCCAATATGAACGCCCTTCGTCTATCTTGGCTAATAGCAAGATAAACCTTGAAATGCCACCTTCGTTGTAACTTAGACTATCGCCCTTTCACCTTCCCAAAATGTCAAATAGGAGATATTGTTTGATTAAACACCAAATACTCAGAAGTTGCACAGCAGTTAACATTGATTATGTATTTTTTACTCAATATAACACTGAAAAATATTTCCTCGAAGCCGCAAACGAGAATATCGCATCACCTGACCTTAGACCTCAATATAAAGATAGGTGATATAATAAGATCTGGCATCAAAATGATTTTGAAGTTCCCAATAAACACCGTAACCCTTTCACTCCCAAGATCTCATTAGTAATTCTCCTTACTCTCTGCTATACCACTCTTATGAAGTTACTTCAGAGATTTTGGTATTGAATCAACTAAAATTCCCTCAATTGATATTTTCTTCATTCTCATCACTTTTCTGTTTAATATCGTGTTGACACTGTAAGCGGAAATTCTGTCTTGGTCACTCATGGGAGTTTAAGTGTTAAATGTATATTTGCCTCGGGTAAAAATTGTGTTCATTATCATTATCATTAGCATTTTCGGTATATTCCTTGTACAGTTTTTTTTCTTTCAGAGTTTGCAACGTACAATGCCACGAAGACGTGTTTTCAGGTCCATTGCTTGTCAGATGTTATAGAAGGTAACTTAACCAGATTTTCTGCAAATTCGGTTTTCTTCCATAGTGGTTTTGAGGACGGTTTTAAGAAACTAGTGCAATGTGTGCATTGATCGAACATCCCTTTGCCGGTTTACCAAAATTTTGCTTGCTCAAGGGTGGTGAAACTCTGAATTTAAATTTCAGCTGTTCGTTAATTCTTTGAACTTGTATGTTGCTAGCGAGGGTATATTCGTGTTTGGATTAGTAGCTGCAATGAAGCCTTACACGAAAGTCAGCCTGCTAAAATTTTCTGAGTGCCTACTAGTCAATTACAGATGCCCTAATATCTAATCGATGTGATAAGACCCGTCAGCTTTACTTCTCTAAATTTCACAGTGTTGATCTTCAAGGTGTTTGTGAACTCATGAGTTGTTTTATCTCCTGAACAGTTTAAGTTCCATTTAGGTCGGTCGACGGGATGTGTTCAGCAAACAAGCCATTAGCAAATTTGCATTTAAAATCAACGGATATTTTTACAAAATATCTCAACGCCAATTTTTTTTTATTTATTTTCTGATATTTAGGGATACTGCTGTAACCCAAGATAAAAAAATATGATAAGAAGTCTTTTCCCATTGCTCGTTCTGCAGATGTGGAATGTGACAGTTGGCGGCGATGCTGCCGCACAGGGTAACCACACAATTACACAGTCATTGAATTTTGAGTGTCTCAAATTACGGTCAGCGGTTAATTTGTTTTCTTTGCGATTAAAGGAAACTTGTAACCGTTCACTTTTTTTTAAGACTAACGGTTAATATTCCTCAAATTTTTCTCTAACGTCTATAACTTTTTTTTGCTGTTTTACGGCTGACGGTTAACCCTAATGAGACCTTCAATTTTATTTAGACACTGAGGGTGGTATTTTGTAAAAGGCAAAATATTGCACAATGACAATGACAAAGAGCTACAACAGCAAGAGTGACAGTGACCGTAGCGATAAGAATGAAAATCGCTTAAACTTTGCTCAGAAAGTCGCCATCGAAGTCAAAAGTCGCGTAGTTGCAATACATGGTCGTCGTGCTTCTCTATCTCAACAATCCTGGACGTGAATGGGATCTTAATAGGTTCTGTTATTTTAGTCTGTTCATTAGACAAAACCACATTATTCATTGTTTGATCAGTGAGCTCTGATTCACAAATATTATCAGTAAGTCAGTATTTGTTTGTTATTTTGTTGCCAGACTGTGGTTCAGTGGTGAATAACACTTTGAAAAGTCCAAATTATCCTGAAGGCTATCCAGACAATATGGAGTGTGAATTTAAAGTTCCTATTCCATCTGGATTTAGATTGAAAATCACGTTTGAGTACATGAGGTTGCCTGATCTAAGGAATCATTATCAGTGCGTGTAAGTGAGGAATGACTGTTATCCTTCATGGGTATTTTAAGTTAGAAGAAAGAATGAATGTTGGGTTCAAGCTTGATGTTAACAGCGAAAAACGGTAAAGATGAGTTATGTTCATTTACATATTCACTTTCCTTCTGATCCTTCATTCAGCTGCGTGAGAAAATAGCGAAAATTTATTTTGTTACAAACTGACGAGGGCAGGCAGCAAAAAGGTACCTCACTTCATGAAACGTGCTGTTTTAATTTTTATCTTGGCAAATTATCTAAAGCCGTCCAAACAAAATTCCGGTCTATTCCCACTTGCTTTCCTGTAATCAAATCGTCTTGCTCCTTCAAAATTCTTCCGATCTATTCTTCCGGATTGAAAAAAAAACTACATGAGTTCAGTTGGCAAAATTGGCTTTCGATTCTTCCGTCACTGATTGTTCGAGTCCAAAGTAATTGATCGTGGACTCAAAAACGCGCAAGTGAAGCAAACTTTCGAATATGACTTGTAGAAATATATCCACCCATCCGCGAACTATTATTTGCAATGCAGTGATGTATGTTATTTTAGATTTATTTTTTATTTGTTTTCCAAAGGGATGACTATTTGACGTTCCGTGGCGACAGAAAACAAGATTTTGGGAAATACTGTGGTTCAACGACAGGCGGAACTTTTATGATAACTGGAAACTACACGTTGATAAACTTTCATTCTGGAAATAGTTCTAACATGAAAAGGATAGGATTCGTGTTACGCTTTGAAGCTGTTGATCAACCCGGTAATGTATCTCAATTTCCAGTCTCCCAGAATATAGTTCAGTTTAAAAGGAAAGCAAAGAATTCTCTTCAAATATAGCGCCCGGAAATTGATTATTCGCGAGCGAAGATCTCAACGATTAATCTCATCTGTTAGAATAATTGCCTTGTGGTAAACATTATCTAAATCCCGTCAATGAATTGGGATTTGTGTGATGATCAACGATGATCATTTGCATTACTTTTACACAGTATTATTTAGTACGAGTTGCTTTTTCTCAGTATAAACGATGATTGGTACAGTTTCCTCTAAAGACTGAACAATCGTAAACTTGACTTGTTTTACTTTTGTTAGTTCAACCAAGTATCTGCCCGATTGGTTGGTATCATCAACATGGTTCATCCTGCTATAAATTCAGTTTTGAGTATCTGACTTGGTATCAAGCTAGCAGACACTGTCAAAGTCTCGGAGGATATTTGGTGAAGATCGATGATGACAAAGAGCAGTCTTATATTACGGATAAAATAAAAGAAATGCGACACGCACAGGTTCGTGATGTAAAGAGGAATAACGAAAACGTGTCCATACCAGTCGCTAGGTACAATAATCTCATAAATCATTAAAAGCAACATGCGACAGTCTGCGACCTTTTCCCACATCTAGGTAGTATGGAAAGCTGCAAAAAAATCTGGAAATAATATCTTTCAAATCGGTATCGACAAACGCTTTTTACTATATAGATACCGATGAAATACCAGGATTTTTCCTTTTACTAAAAAATCGTATCTTCATCGCCCGCAGTGAAGATACTATTTTTATCTTTCACGAGTGAGGATATTGGTGTCGACATGATTACTAACATGATTAGCCAATTACAAGGGAGCTTCCCGCCCAGGCGCGCGGCCGGTTCTTTTGAAATTCCATTCACAAAATGGCTTCGAGTTGCGAAGACGGTACTGTAACCGGTGACTTTGTCGATGAGCTGCCAAATTTTCACATCGATCCTTTTTCCGAGCTTGAAGAACATTCAGGAAGATTTGCCGAAGTCTCGGAAAGTGATGTTGAAAAATTCATAGAAGGGGAAGAAAATGCAAACACTAAAAGTAAGACATTCTACGACTTAAAATTATGTCTCCTTTATAACTCTATATCCGAGTTTCATAACATTTTGTAAGAGGCATTTTGCAGTAGGTGATGGTACTCAACCAAAATATGAGTTCAGCAGTGCTAATTTATTGTTTTTATCATCTAAAGTTAATATAAACATAATTCTAAGACCGAAAGAGGTGAAGCTCTACACTTCTTTAAAGTGATCATTATTGATGTATTCAGCTAATTTTTCAGTGACAATCTCTCACTTTAGGCTGTTTGGATTGGACTACACGATCCTGATAAGGATAATAACTTTAAATGGGTGTATGACGATACTCCTCCTCGTTACTCCAACTGGAATAGGGACGAGCCTAATAATAAAGCGGTATGAGGCGAACATTCTTTCATTTTTGTCATATAGTTGTTTAGTTTGGGGCAAGACTTGCTATCAAATCTTTAGACCCCTTCATATTTTTATGTGCGTACATACTTGTCTTTGATTTTCATCATGTCCAACTTCAAGCCTTTAGTTCATGAACAAGTTCAAATTTGTAAAATGTTCCATTATCTTTGACACACTTTTAGATAAAATCCCATGGAAGCACAATGTTTTTAAAAGAGATCTGCCTGTTACCAAATTATGGCGAATTTATGTTCGATATAATGGGCCGAAATTGCTGAATGAGATAGACTAAATATTCAAAATTCTCACAGAGTCTTCATTCAAAATATAATTAACTATTGTATTTTACTAATTTCTATCAAGAGAAAAGTGCCATTACTTTCTCTTGTTTCTACTATTTTTTCATTTATTGGTACAAATCACTACCTCATATTGTTATTCATTCAATCATTTGTTTATCTATTTGATAATATATTTGTTATACTTAGCTTATCATTTCATAATTTGTAATGTGTTTGAGTTATCTTTAAATCGTGTGTACTGTCAGTAGAAGTCTTAATAAAGATAAACGCATAAATGATTTAGCTCAATACCCCTATGAATGATGGTCACCGAACCGGTTTAACCCTTAAGTTATTTTCGGTGAGCAGGGCTAGCTACTTTCTGTAACTTAAACTTCCATAAATAAGATGATTTATAATTGTAATTGTACAGTCCGACTGTGCACAGGCCTATGGGATTTGGTTTGACTTGAATGACGCACCCTTTCCAGCTGGGAAATGGAATGACGTATCGTGTAAAGGCAAGGCATTCTCCATTTGCGAGAAAAACGGTAAGTGGATCACTGGCCAGTTAATTGAACGTTTTTACATAACGTCACGGCCAAATTGGTTATCACAACAAGAGACGGCAACGTGAATGCCCAAATCAGTCCTGTTGGATTTAAACTCTTTTCTACGTTAATTTTTTTTCTTTTGTTCCAATATATTTACATTGCTGCTCAGCATAATGTTAAGGTAACTTCGTTTCTTTTGTTGCTGCTGTTGTTGTTTTATTCAGCCGACTGTGGTTCAGTGGTGAATAATACTTTGAAAAGTCCAAACTATCCTGAAGGCTATCCACACAAAATGGAGTGCAATTATTCAGTTCCTATTCCAGCTGGCACGAGAATGAAAATAAAGTTTCAATACTTTAAGATGCCTGACCCATATCCTGTTGGTAATGAGGTGCAGTGCTTGTGAGTAAGGATTGATTATAAACCCATATGCTTACAGCAGGCGGAATAACAGAATTAGGTCCTATAAACCCCCGCCAACCACCCCACCCTGGCGCTCCCTCTTTCATTACCTCTAAAAAGAATGTTTTTTCCAATAGAGGAAAGATCGATCGTAGTAGTTGTGTACAGAATTGAATACCTGTTTAGCCTTTTACCGAGTAATCCTATCCATGACTTTCCCTTAGTTACAGTGCAGCATGATCTCTCACTTCAATGCTTTTTAGGGGGAAGAGGGGCTTTTATTTCAGTCAATTTTTTCTTTATCTCCTGAAGAAAAGGGTTGTATAGGAATTTGCTTTCGAAAAGTCCAGTAGATGATGTTTTTAGTTTCAGATCATTTTTCCCTTCAGTATTAGAATTATTATTATATTTTGTATTAAAAGAGACGACCATCTGACGTTTCGGAACGAACAGCACCAATATTTTGGAAGTTATTGTGGCAAAGCGACTGGAGAAACCATTTTTGTAACTGGAAATAGCGTGGTAATAAAATTTGAGTCTCGTGATAATTTTACCAGCCGGGACAGGGGATTCTCTTTGTATTTCGAAGCTGCTGATCTACCTGGTAAGACAAAATGATAGCAATTTAGAGATGAATGAAGGTAGAAAGTTTCTAAAGAAATTGTGGTACCGCGTCGTTGAGCGGTATCACAAGATAATTTGGTTTTACCAATTGAGATTGACATCTTGCGCGTGAAACTGAGGAAGCTCGAATCGCGTCATCAGCCCGATAGTGTGAATATTTGTTATATGGAGAATAATACATGAGCGCGCGTAGATTTCAAATTACTCTTCGAGTGTTCAACTCGATAGCTCTAGTTGAACACGAGAAGAGAAATTCCATATCTAGAAGCAATCAGGTATTATTTTGTTCATCATATAAACACAGTAGCCCTTTACTGACAAGAAAAGCCAACTTAAATAATCAATGAAAATAAAGGATACGACAATTCCCGAAAAAAAAATCACACAGTGGGCTGTCGCCAAGGATGAAGATGCAAAAATGCGTTGAATCATGATTACAAAAACAATTATGGGCGTAATTTTCAATTTACAAAATTCTTATTCATCGACTTCTTCCTTACCGACAGAAGAAATCTTTCAGGTAAACGGCCAAATCAGGCTGTGGCAAGTCTTCCAGTTGTCGATTTTTTTGTTCTCAGCCTCGAGAAATGCCATTACCAAAGCCACTGGAAACGTAACTTTCGGTTTTTCTTTTGGTATACTGGTTTTCTTTCCCTCTTAGGAAAGTGATACGGTGTCTGTAAGTGATATGGATTTTTCAGTGTTTTAGCTGCCATAATCCGAGAAAAGTTCGACAAACTACCTTGGATTGAGAATGGTGAAAGCTTTACCGTTCATTCATCAACCTGACCGAGCGCGCTAAAGGCGAGTGACGTGTCAGCAGCTGGTTGGCGATATCAAATACACGCGAAAAAATATCTTATTTTTTCACGTGTGTTGTGGCGGCTTCTCTCAGGGCTGGAAATCATTTTATAACACTATAGTTTATATGATCAAAGAAATTTCGCCATGGCTGACTATGTGTTTCGTTTTCGTTAGTTCAACCGAGAACCTGTCCATCCGGATGGTATTATCAATATGGATCATCTTGCTACAAATTTAGCTCTGAAATGGTCTCTTGGTATGAAGCAGTGAGGCGATGTAAAAGTCTTGGAGGATTTTTGGTGAAAATAGATGATGCCGATGAACAAAGTTTCTTAACGGATAGAATCAACATCAGTAGAAAAATAAAGGTCTGTTTACAACTACCAGAGTACCATTTCACGATGACATTTACTCTATGGCAATGGTCTGATTCAAGCTATAATTCCAACTTCATCTCAAATAACGAAGATGTTATTTTTGGTCTATTCACGATAAACAATATATTAAAAATGTAAAATACATTAAACTTTCCTTTCAGAATTGCTCATCCGTGAATTATTATCGATTTTATCTACAAAAGATAAAGTTCAAATATAAAATCAATAAGCTTGATTAAGTTTTTGATTGCCGAGCTCCTCTTTCTACTATTAGTCAAAATAATATCAATACTGCAATCTACAATTTGTAAATTATGCGAAATTGTTAAGAAAGAATTGGTTCATGCTTAGCGTGTGTATATCGAGTTATGGATGCGCGTGGGAAATTTGGAGAGCACGAGAGAAGCATAAAAGTTACCCGAGGCGAAGCCGAGAGCAACTCTAGCTTCTTGAGTGTTATGGATGCACGGCCATGCATACCAAAGGATTTCTACCAAGCTAACTTCTAAAGGAATTAGGTAGGACTTGCGCGCGAGATGTGATATAAAATAATTTTTACCATAGTAGCTCCGAAGGAATATTACGTTACTTATGTTATTTCATTATCAACATTTAGAAATGTTAAGACCTAAACATTGTGATTGTGTTGTTGCAATATTTAATTCTTTTCTTGTCTAAAGGCACTTTGGATTGGACTTCATGATCTTGATGATGAAAATGACTTCAAATGGGAGCATGATAATACACCTGCCAACTTCTCTCACTGGAATAAGGGTGAACCTGATAATTCTGGTGATGGGGAAGACTGTGTTGCAGTCTCTGGGATTTTCTTGTACATGTACAGTCAACTATACCCTCCCGGCCGATGGAATGATATGGACTGTGACAAGAGTGCCCCTTACATTTGCGAGAAAAATATTAGGCGTAAGTAAGCCCACTTTGTCGAGTCTTCAAAGCATATTTTCTCTCAAATGTGTCTTTGTGGCATCCTGCCTTAGAGATGACATTTTGCACGGAAAAAAATGCGCCTCATCCAATACGTAGGGAATAAATTGAATATTTCTGACGTTCATTTGGTTGGAGCAAAGAGAGTCGCTTAAACTTTTGAAATGGAAATGGTTTAAAATGAACACAGGTATAACACTAATTCTGCTTTACGAAGTTTCAAATGAATGGGATTACTTTTGGTAACTAAAGTGACTTAACCACAAATAAGATTCGTTTTTTGTATTTCGTGTAAATGATAGAGGAAAAACCTGGCCTCAGCTGGAGAATTTTTTCTAAATATCTACTTACTATGATTACGTGTTTTAAATGCTTCTTGGATTATTTAGATTTGACTTTTTTTTAGCAGCAACAGTCGCAGCACCGGATATCATGGCCAAAACACCTACCCTTGCAATCAAAACGCAGAAAAACGAGGCCATGAGTTCTGTAGCCCTTATTTACAGCTTGGCTGGTGCTACCTTTGTAGTGATACTCGTGCTGTGCTGTATTATGGGACTTCGGTGCTACTAAAGCAAAAGACACGCTAGGTTAAAAAGGTAATGTTCACAAGCCCAATATAGTTATTATGGTAAACAAGCACAATTCAATCACGGCTTATGTAAATTTCTGTAAGCTTCCTCTGCATGGTGTATATGCATGTCAAAAACAACAACAGAACGATCGTTTGGTCGGGTGATCTTAACGTTAGTATCTTCAAACAGATGATGCTTGCTTCCGATCCACAAGCTGAGTCAATTATTCTGTAGTTCTTTAGCTTTAGGTTTCTCAATCTGGTAGTTCTGAAAGCGCCACTTACCCAAAAACTTTTCTATCAACAAAGTAAATCTTATTGTCCCACGAATAAAAAAAATCGAAAAAGTTAATTTAGCAACTATTTTTGTTATTTTATTATTATTGTTATTTTTATTATTATTATTGCTATTATTATTTTTTTTTTGAGCTTCCAAAGATCCCGAAATTGGCGTCTTTCAAGTTCACGACGGAGAAGTAGGGGGAATGGGGCGGGTTGGCTCATGACATGAGAAAGCAGTCACACTGCAGCCTAGGAGAGAACTACAGAATTATGCGCGGAAGATGTGTTGTTGTTGCTCTGATCAGGATATCTTCTAAAGACTTTCCTTAAATATTACTCTTCAGCGCGGTTGGTTTTGAATATGGTGCTAAATCAGAAGGGGAGAGGGTTAACTGTAATTATTGTCTTAATGATGAAAAAGCTATCAGTTATTAAGTCATTTAACATTCTCTCACTGAATCCAAATTTGTGTTGTCAACAGACATGTTCAGCGTCCTTTCCGCGAGATTATTCCTCTTGACAAGTGGGAAATTCTTCCCAAGCAGGTGCATTATGAGGAGGAGCTGGGCCGAGGTGCATTTGGTGTGGTTTACCAAGCAACTCTTACGAGAAGAGCTGGAATAGAAGTGTTTGAAACAAGAGAAAGACTAAAGCCAGAAAAACAATGTCAAGTTGTTGCGGTAAAAGTATTACAGGGTGAGTAGAAATAGCGCCTAAATACTGTCAAAATGAAATTTTTAATCGATAAGAAAAGGATCTGCCGTTGCATGGAATCAGAAGTCGACTGGTAACATCTTTCAAGCTTTCCTTTTAACATATCAAGCCAGAAGGGGCTAGTTCACGACCTGCGCATGCGCTTTAATAATCGAGATAGCTGTTACTCACGTTAGGTTTCAAGCATCCTATTCAATCCAGGGGCTGTTGCGAACGCCAAAAGGTCTAAGACTGGACTCACAAACGCTGAAAGCATCAATAACATCTATCCACAGGTGATCCAAGCGATGAGCAAAGAGAAGCTTTCCTTCATGAAATATTACAAATGAAGCTGTTGGGTTCACATCAGAATATCGTGTCTTTGGTCGGATGCTGCACACTGCAGGACACCAAGTTTCTGGTGATAGAGTATGTTCCGTATGGTGATCTCTTACAATGGTTACGGCAAAAGAGGCGATCGGTAAGGGGAGAGAGATTTTCCTGAGCAAGGCTAAATTTTTGTATTTCGATGTCAGTGAGAAAGGAAGAGGCTTTATCATTGGCCTTGTATTGCGTTACGCTAGATTCTGGATAAAACAAATAACAACTTTATCTTCTACCCTTATTCTGTATATACATATCTGTGGTAAATATTTTGCCTATTACGCTTCAGGTAAATAAAAATCAAGCCCTCAGAGGAAAGGAGGCGGAAAAGTTTTATGAAGATAGAGACACTCCGATTGATGAGTTGAAAAGATGCGAACCTAGTCGAGTAAGTATTTTTGTGCTATTTCGGTAGTGATGGGGGAAGGCTTTGCCAAGCAAGTCGCGATTGACCGTATTTATATTAGTATTCATTATTCCGTCCATTGAACTGAAACTCGAAAGTAAGGTGTAATGTTTCCTAAAAATATTATTCCTCTAAGAAATAAAATGCAGTCAAGCTAAACGGAATCAGAGACCCCTCCCCTCACCCCCGAAAAAATCAAGGCGAAAAATGAGGTACTATTTTGCTTGAGGGGGAAGCTAGGCTCCTTGAGGCCCTTCAGGAAAACTACTCCACCTCCACAAGCGTGGTTGTAAAAAGAAGATTAAGGCAGATAACTCGGCGACTTGACGCAATTTCTGTCGCTTTGCATGGACTATGCGGGACGGACAAGTGCTTTGTGAACAGCGAATGCCTTTTTCGGATTTTATTTGTAAAAATAAAGTTCGACGGATATCAAGCATTCATAATTATCTCCCTTCCATGCAAGCCATCCCACCATGAATCTTGATCTAAAAGTGAACATTAATCTATTACTTTAATTCCTTCCTTTATCACCCAGAAAAGTTGTGACAGTGCTGTTAATCAGGAAAATATAGAATTGATGTCAATGCCATCCAGTCCAGGTTACTATAACCACGCTGCTGTCATTTCGCTGTCTACGGTGAATCTTCATGAGAGTAACCTTGATGGCGTAAATGATAATGATGACGTCGGTGTTGATGGTTTCTCTGCTCAACAGCTGTTTTCATTTGCTTGGCAAGTAGCAAGAGGAATGGTTAGTAAATGAATTAACTCAGAAGTGACTGTGGGCTTACCTTCGAAAAAACCTTACGCAGAAACCATACCTGAAGAGCATTCTCGACATTATTTTATGTCGTCTTCAGTTACACCTCTTTAAGCATTTTTTTTTCATTATTTTTTCCCAGAATCACCTTGCCGAAAATGATTTCGTTCATCGTGACCTTGCAGCTCGGAACATCCTTGTTGGTCAAGACGGACGAGTGAAGGTGTCAGACTTTGGTTTGATGCGCCAAGTGTACGAAGATGTGTACAGCATAAAAAAAGCTAAAAAGCTACCAGTTAAATGGATGGCATCAGAGAGCATCTTCGAGGGTGTTTCTACTTTCAAGAGTGACGTGTAAGTAGACTGGAGCTGCTACTGAGTGTGGTGTTTCTGTTTCAACAAATTTTCTCTTTTGCTTGTTTACAACTTGTTTTTTTCAGTCTTGCTCAGAGATGCCGCAAATCTCAATTTAATAGTTAATGTTTAAAATTTCTCGCAGTTGGTCTTATGGAATTTTTCTCTGGGAAATGGCTACCATGGGTAGGTTAAAAAGCTTTTCTTGATAGATATCTATTGTTTTTATCATTAACGTTTTTCATATTGTTAGAGTTATTTGTTCGTCGTTGCATTCATACCTTTGAACTTGAACTTGAACTTTATTTTT